GGGTTGGAACTGGATGGTCTTTAAGGTCCCTTCCAACCCAAACCATTCTGTGATTCTATGAATCTTGGTTTCCAGAACTAAACTCAAGATCTGTGGGAATGCTTAAGTCTTAAAACAGAAATCGGCAATTTAAAATCAACACTCCATTATGGACCTTTTGACAGAGTAGTGTTGAATTAAAAAAAATGCAGAACATAAGGATAAACAGGCTGAATACTGAACGCTGCAAGAAAATATTATGACTTTAAGTAAGGAAAGGTATAAACAGAGAGGAAAAATGTTGACCTTGTGAAGATACCTACCCAAAATAACTGTACTGAAAGAGACCACTTCTTTGTCCTTGCCATCATTGTAAAATGCCAGGTGCCACAAACCCACATCCAAGTACTGAACAAACACAGCCTCATTCTGAACAAGGGTCTGAATACTCCGTCGTTCCCGTGGGGACTCCACCACACTCCATTTCTCTTTCCCATCCAAGCGTTCCATGAAATCATACTGCAGGGTGAAAAAACAGGAGGGGAAAAAAAAAAAAAGAACACAAACAAACAAACCCCCAAACAAACCTGAATACAGAATGATATTTCAGCTCAAAATCTGACACTATGTTTTCTTTACTACCTTGTCATAAAATGATATTTCTGAAAGATACGTCAATGTGAAACTAATGTTTACTAATTAACCATGGAACACACAGAGATTCTGTGACTCTTCTCCTTTCTTAAACAGTGATATAGAATTCTGCATCTTTGATCTGCATAGGTAATCAACAAATGTACAAATGGTGTTTCTTGACAGGCTGGGTTTTGAGGAAGAAGTTGAAATCAATGATTTGGCCCATCAAATTTTAGGTTCCTACACAGCTTTCGAAGCTGGAAACCTTAAACCCAGGAGAGAGACATCCCTTTCTAAGCAATCGCCTACAGTAAATTCTTGCTGCAAGAGGAACAGAAGTCTTAGACATATAATTGAAGGTGAAAACAAACAGGAACAGCACAAACAGGAAATGTGTTTGTCTAATGTTAGCTAACTCAGCATCTGAGAGAAATACATGGTACAAGTTTTACATTACAGAGTAGGACTTGCTTACCTGAGTTTGTATGTGGAACAATCAGGAGCAAGTAGGACACAAAAACCAGAGGGAGCATGGAAAGGAATAACACAAATCAAGTGGCTGAAGGAATTGAACTCATATTAAGGAAAACTGAGAATTTCTGGTTGGATGGTTTCCAAGTAAGGTAGAACATTACATTAATCTTTGGAAAAGGGATCAAACAGAGCAAGTGATTATTTAGAGTATAAGAGGGATGGCACCATTAATGGCATGAAACTAAAACAAGAAAGAAAGAAATTTAAGATGAATGTCAGATAAGCTTCCCATCTATTAAGCTCAGTAATAGCCTCCCAGTGGAGATGCCACTGCATCACACAATTAAACAGGACTGGAAGAAATATTGGTTAATCTGCAACAGGGAATATCTCTGCATAACAAAGCAGCTGGGCTAGCTGTCCTAATAGGCTTTCCCCCCCCTCCCCCCCGTCTTTAATGTCTGTGGTACTGGAGCTCTCAAGCTGATGCTATGCTCAGCTTAGCTCCCCTAGTCCCTATCTAAGGGAAGCCCTTAAGAAACAACAAAACCAATATATCTAATCTTTTGATAGTTGTATAACAAGTCCCCTGTGAAAACACATCTTGTTTTAGACACATTTATCTATGTAGGCGTAGATAGAGATAGATAGACATGTCTAAAGAAAGATGTGTATGTTCAATACAGCACAGTAACAATATGTGCTTGCTTACCAGTAGTTTCACTGCATTTCCCTCCGTTATCGCTAGCACATACAGCCTGTGCTTGCGACAGCTCTGAGAAAACATACACCTTCACTTGCTCTCCGTTTGAATGGAAAACTGTAATCTAAACAGACCAAACAGCCAGAGAGGGCTGTCTGGTATGCTGTATTCCACTCATTAACAGGGAGTCCTAGCAGATAATACACAGTAAACAAAAGAATAATGAAGAGTCGCTCTTCTAGTAGAACAGACAGACAGATGGGCAGATTTAACACTTTAGTGCCATATCTATCTAAACTGGGGTATAAAAGCTGACCTTTCTATTTGAAATTTTGCAACAATTATAGACGAGCAGTGTAGGGTCCTTGATACACTTAGCCTTAGGACCCAGGGCAAAGTATGGCAGTACTGTTACGTTCCTGTCACAGGGGTGAAACTGTGATACCAACATGCAGCCATCGTAGGGTAGGAATTTGAGCCCTGATAATGTTGAAAGCTATCATCACAGTAAGCGCATTATCCACTCTTTTTTTTTTAGAGTGGAAGAAGTGGAATAAAAAGTTTCACCAAACTGTTAATATCAGATTGCCATCTGCTTGAGCCTTTTTTCACACAGGATTTTTTGAAGGAGAAGGTAAATCAGGTAAATTAGTACATTTAAGCCCCTGCATACCAGAGGTGTAGAGAATTCCGGCATGTCAGTAACTTTCAGAGGTGCCAAACACATAGCTCTATCTCTTAAATCAATGACATTTGGAAATATTGCTAAAACCTATTGTCTAACAGTCAGAGGTTAAGGACAGACTCATCACCTCCTTGGGAAATGTTATTGCTCGGGCAACATCTTGGGAAAAAGAAATCTTGCTCTTCAGAACAATTGTTCACAAAGGGTCAACTAAGGAAGTAGCAATAAAAGCTGACATTTCTCACTGGCAACATGCTGTTTGTCTCTGCTTGTGCTGGCAGGTTCCTCTGCCTCCCCTCTGTTTGATGCTGATTCTACCTCATATAGTAGAGAAGGCTCAGCAGTTGGCAAGATCGAAGGGGAAGAGTATTCAGGCTGAAACTGCTTGAAGCAGTTTTAGCTGCAGAATCCCTTTTCACAAGGATGGGGTGTGACCTAGGGAGAGCAGGTCCCTTGGCACAACTTCCCATAAGGCTTCAATTTCGACTTTGGTAAAGTTAAGACTGGCATTGCCCCTTTTTAATCAAACTATGAAGAACTATCACATGCTCAGGCAAAAGCAAAATGCCTAAACCTGAATGTCTTTATAAATGGTGAAGTATCGGTGCATACTGATACGGAATATAACAATACATTTTTATCCCTCTTTGGATTCCTCAGGACCAAGGAAGAAAGAAGGAAATGATCTATCTGCAGATGGTTCCCTGGGGGTTACAAATCTTAATGTATCAGCAAGCACTAGGTATATGTACCCCAAAATCTAAAATCCCTGACTGGACGGTCACCGAGACAGTATTGTGAACCCATAACCAGATTCTTCACATGGTTGGTTGAATCACCACTTCACTTCTTGAGGCCCAGTTGATCTTCCGATTTACCACACTTGCGTGATTAATTACTTTTATATAACGATGTGCTGAAGATATCACTCCTGCTTTAAAGCTACTTATTGACAAATATGCAGAGATTAAAAGACGCATCTAGGAAAAGAATGAAAGTACTTCCATGATCATTAAGAAGCAACTGTGGAATTTTTAATTTAACACACACAACTGCTAAGGGAAAGACAACTAAATCACCTGAAACAGGGAATGCATCTGTCAAACCAAAGTAAACCTCTGAAGTAATTTGGAAGTTTCACTGACTTTTTTTGGGTTTTTTTAATGATCATTTATGTCTCAGGGCTTCATACCAAAAGTCACAGAAAACGGGCTAAAACTGCTCAGAAACAAAACACACGAGAACTCTCAAATGCCTACATCTTCAGAGTTCAGTTTTGCAGGGGGGACTGCTTACTGTGATTAAAGCTCCAGAAGCAAGGGACTTGCCAGCCTACTTCTCTAAACAAATTCCAAATTCACATTCTCAGTGAGTTTGTTTGTTTTGACTACACAGCATACCAAAACTACTGCCTACTTTTATTTACAAACCTAAATCTCATACCAAGTTCTTTCTGGGCAATTTGTTTTTATAATTTCTTCACTCAGTGCTTTCTATCCTCCCATACATTTTATTCATAGGCTAATAAGGACTATTTTTTTCCTAGTAACCATGAGGAGTCAGCAAAACAGTTTTGGAGTTTTACATGCACAGTAATGACTAGACTGCACAATGCCATCCATATAGCACAGATGGACTGAGCCCAGTTGCATACAGGAAGGGAACTAGTTGTGAAAGCACAGTGAAGCAAAAAGAGCTTGCAGAGATCAAAACTGAAAATGCAGAGAGCCTGCATAATCTTTGTATTTTTCTTAGATCTGAAAATATTTGCATAGATCTACAAAATCCCTAACAGTATTTGGAATCCAAAAGAAGGATTTCTGAGAGCTCTTGGCTTAATAATGGATGCATATTCAAATGGGGGGGGGAAGGAATAAACATGTTTGGTGTTGCGGCTAGCATTCGTCTTTATGCCAAAGCCCTGTAAGACCCAAGCAGCCAAGAAAACATATGTCAGGGAAACTTGTTTGCAAAGTACTTAAAAATTTGTTCTTCATAAAATCCAGTTGGTAATTATTCATTAAAATACACCCATGAAACATCTGATACCCGCAGTGACAGCCAACCCATTTGTTTCAGCATCTGAATGTGACACAACATCACCAGTCCAGTGCCGTGCAGCAGTCAGTAATAACAGCCCGGTTCCCATCAGGTAACGTTAAGGTGGTCAGAGCACCTAAATGTATTTGAGCACTCGCTAAAAAACAAGGTAACACTGAAGCTCCCCAGCTATTCTTGTCAAATAAAACCATTTCCTGCTCTAAATGAAAACGGTTTTCATTTTGACATGAAAGATTTCTAAGTATAACACACTTTGCTGGAAACGAAAACAATACAACTCCATGCACTGCCTTCTCCAGACATTACAGTGATGCTTCTGTAAGGTTACCTTATTTCATGCGTCATTTGGAATGTTCTACCAAGGTGTAGTAACACCATAATTGCTGTAATCTCTGTAGAGTCGCTTCATGCATTATTTGACATTTACTGTTCATTTTCTATACATTATCAATTTTATTAATATGACTTCTACTAATTTCCTATTGATCGTTCGAGCCTGCAGTATGTATTTTGTTATTTCTATGTAGTACTACACAGGTTGCAAGAATTTTGCCTGAAAGCAATGCATTCCTGTTTCTAGTCTGCTTGCCACTCAAAACTGCATTTTTACCTCTCCTCTAGAGCTCCACTCCCTATGCACATGGCACAAAAGGCTCCTTCTAGACAAGTTTACAGCTACAGTTTGACTGACTAAACCAGGCATTTGGAATATTTGCTAAACAGTAATGCTGAGAAGGTTAAATCTCAGCAGGGCTCTCAGACAGGAACCGCATCTTGTTGTCTCAGGTTAATCATGTACCTAATTTGCTGATTATTGACTCGCTCCCACAAAGGATTTTACTTGGCTTGACATATCAGCACTGATCAGTGATGAACTGTCAAGTGTAGTTGTTCACTGCTTTACAGCTCATGTCCCTAACCTGCAAAAACAAGGATTTTAAATTTCAATTTTAAAATATCATCTGGTGTCAGCTCCAGACTATTTTCATTAATACAAACCCATTCTGCTCCTTTCTGTCAGAACAAGGCTTCTTTTCACTGTCTCAGGTCTGTAACAGCTTGCCTTTCTTTCTCTAAAATTATTTCTCTTGGTAGCAGCCTGGCTGAATTTTGATTGCTGGGTAAAAATGCCAAGCAATCTTCTGCTGTACCACCCTGTTGACAAGCACCAGGACCCTACATGAATATGGGAAAGTATTTCTGCAGATTAGGCTGGTGGATTTTATTAACTCCAGTTATGGAAGAGGGTTGGAATTGCTTCCTCTGAAGACTGGAAAACAGGTTCTCTGAGGAGAATCCAGCTCAGTGGGAAACACAGTTGGTATTTCTCATTATCTAATTTAACAGAAAGGTCAGAAAATTTATATCCTATCCACGTAAGGTAGAGAGAGAGAAAGAAGAGAAACTTTGCGTGATCATAGCTTTCTCAGATAAGAACATCATGACAAAACCTAGAGCAAACACATTTGATCACAGTGCAATAGAAATTAAAGTTCAGCTTGAATTAAAAAAAAGTATTTGGTACTACCAGTTACATCCAGGTGGATTTCATGTAAAAAATACAGGCATATCTCCATCGTGTCTTAGACAATTATAAATAACTTGTATTTATAGCAAACCTTGATGATTGCTCAGGAGCTTTGGTTGCCCTAAGCCATTTTCACTTCATGGTTTATATTTTGGTTTGTTTTCCTCAACTAAATTGCTGCTTTTTTCATACTGAAGCATTAGAGCCAAAATCAAAACATTCCTAAGAAAGGATCCTGCCCTGGAAGATATTCTCTCTGGGTATCTTCTGCATTGCATGGAAGTCTGGCAATGGCTGAAAAGTAGTCAACAGCCCTCTACAATTTCTCTAATTGATCTATTCTTTGTACAGAACTATGCTAACCTCTAGCTATATGGAAACCTGCCCACTTGCCATCCCCTCCTCGGGTTGTGAACTGCTGGTCCTTACTTCTTACCAGTCGCATATATCCATTCCCTAACTCACAGAACATTTTAAAACAGCATACTAGAGGAAGTTGATGGAGTTTGGATAGTCAAAGCTCCTTGTCCACCAATTCTTGGATGTAAAGGTCATAAACACATGAAAACCTCTTTTCTCCTTTCCTCCCAACTGTTTAAAGGTTTTGGTTCTCAATTCAGACTACAGGGAATAGTAAACATCAAGGAACAAGAGGCAGTGCAGGACAATTCTATAAATTTGCCTCACATTGGGAAGCGGATCCGAAATTCAGTTGATGTAAGTGTAGTTTTCCCCAGAAAATTAACTGATTCACTGTTTGTACCATGAGTTTGTGCATGCACATGGACTCAGTTCACTTAGGGTTAATAGCTCCTTGCAGGCAATATGTAGCAACTCAATTATGTTAAAGCCTCTGGGCTTTCAGCTTAAATCATGCATTTTAACCATTTATGTAACTGCAGTCTGCTTTGCCAAATGAAAAAAGAAACACCAACCAAACCCCCCAAAAAACGTAGTAGCAGTTCTTTGCAAATCAGGGCAAGTCATCTCGAAATGTTAAATGGGGCTTTCACAAAAGGGATCATGGAGTTCTACATTTGCTTTTTGGAAATCATATACTAAAGAAAGGATGTTAAGTTTAGGTAGTAATTTCAGAATGAACTGATTTTTAGCAGCAAGGATATGCATGAAGGAAGGGGTCCTTTCCAAAAGCTGGTGGCTATTTCTGCTTCCCTTGCTCTCTAAAGGATGAAGGGTTTTTCCTTTTAGTGTGTGTAACTGCAAATATATTATTTTTCATTACAGTTCTAATATAAGTAAATGGGAATCCTTCGATTCACATTAATGAGTTTTCAATATAATAAAAAATTTCTCTTTAACAGAAAATTTGGCTATATCTTCTCACAGTAAAGAAATCAAAGCACCCACTGCACAACCCAGAAGAAAAAGATACTTAAGGTTGACCTCACTAACTTCAAAATGGTCTTTACTTATAACCTCTAAGTAAAGGCTACATATAAGCAAAGTACTTCATGCTCACTGTAAAAATGCCGTGTTACTAAGTCTTCATCTCTGAGGCTTGTTAGAAATCAAGAACTGGGTTTCCCAACTGCAAGACTTGTCCCATGTCTGAGTCAGGTATTATACCCAAATACTGTGCTTGCAGGAAACGTAGTACAATTAAAGGTCTCAACACATGGCCACTGCATTACGTTCGCTAGTATGGCTGGGTAGCAGTGATGCCAAAGTCTGTTGCATATCCCAGAAATGCCATTCCAACAGCCTGTAGAGATTAAAACTTCTATGAAGACAGAAAATTATATGTTAACACATCTAGCTGTGCATGCAACAGTGCTTTGATATTGTGAGCTTGACCATCATTGCTCATCATTTCTGACTGGTGTATAACTGAATAGGTTGATCCCAACAGGTGCCAAGATTTTGTCAGAGATTTAAAAACTTGAGTGCCAAACTGCAAGTTATTTTAAAAATCTGAATGACAAGAAAAACATCATTGATTACTACTTTTATTGGTGTACTGTTGAGGTACGCAGTAACCTAGAAATCTTAATACCAGGGTGTTCAGCCAACTATCACAAGTTAAACAATTCCCAGGATTGAGAATCCTTCAATTTGAGCTCCATAAACTCCAACTGAAATCTTAAATAGATGCTCTAAACTTTCGCATTTTGACATTTAAAGCCAGCAAATACATTGATAAAGTACCTGGGCATGTGATGGTGGGAGTCCTCTTCTTATATAAACACCAAAAAGGGCATCCTTGCCTAAGGATATGTTGAACTTCAGGAACTGTGGCTGGCTGACATGGATCTGAGAGCGCCAGAAAACTCCTGGGGGCACTTCTTGCGTGACCCTGCGGCCAACTTCTGTTTCTCCACTATCTATGCTGCTATTCCTAGTGACCCATGGTCCTGTAAAGTAAAAGCAAATATAAATCAAATGAGATAACTGCTTTTAATACAGGCATGTTTATTCATTCAAGACGAACACCTGTGGCAATGCCACCTTTTAGATCAAATTGTATCTTTCCTTGCTTATTCTGATGCAATTTGCCTGCTGATTCATCAGTACGTAAGAACTTGTCCCCTGTATTTGAATTAAGAAGGTTATGAACCTTTTTCTGTGGAGCACCTACAATCTAATCCCTCCAACCCTTTAATTCTATGATTGCTCTTTACTGATCAAATATAGGAACAACAGAGAGGCAACTAAGCACATACAAATGTCCCTGTACTCTTTCCAGCTGCATCTTGTATGCAACCGGGGTATAAAAAAAATCATCAGAAAGGTGAACTGAAGAGGTAACTTCAGTCTAAATGCACTGATGTCAAAATTTCATTAGCATTATTTTTTATAGGAAAGTATTCCAATAAACTCCAGGTCATAGACAAGAGAGTTGACAGAGGAAAGGAAATGCACAGAAAAGGATTTAGAGGACAGTGCCTGTACGCTGACATTTGTCCCCTCCCTCTTGAAAGAAAGTGAGTACGACTCAATGTGCTGCCTTTTAAGTTCTCTCTGCCAGAAGCAGTGACTACCTACAAGTCTTTCTCCCTCGTGCTGTGGCTAGTTAAAATCCACCATTTGATGGTTCTTCAGCATGCATTATTGAAGACAAGATACAAGACCTTTCTGGTTGAGTGCTCTGTCTTCCAGCCCATGAAATAGTCAACCTTTAAAACATGGTGCAAATCCCTTCTGTTCTCAGCTGAACAGGACAGTTCTGAGGCTACACATATTTTAAACATGGAGCGAGTGAAGAGTTAGCAGTGCATTCAAGCCACAGTTTATAGCCATGTTGGATTGTGTGTTCCATATTCCCAAACAACATGGTGAGAAATCCACTTTAAAATTATTACAGCAGACACTACAAAGACCAGAAAACCACAGAAAATATGTTAACAATCACAGAAATTTAAAGGTATCATTAATCTATTAATACACACTGGATGGTAGTGGTACCTCTGATACAACCTGACAGTATTTGTTAAAAGCTCAGTATTTACCTCATGTTTCTTTCATGTGTAATACTATTTTCAATAAATGGCAAGGTACTTTTGAAATATACTCCAGCACCGTATGAATATAACAGGATGGCACAGAATGACATATAACTCCAGCAGGTAAGTACATAACAGCTTTTCTGTCTTGACTATCTTTAATTGAGAGAGCTGAAATAGCATGGTTTCAATTATAGATTCCAAATTATCTGTGTGAGCAGCACTTACACTTACACATAATGAAACAGATATTATGTTAGCAGTGTTTTGAAATGGTAAAAGAATGCTCTGAACACCAACTGCGATACAGTTTTTGGCAACTTGTTTGTTTTTTCATTTTCTATGTTAATGGCACTACAGTAACATCACAGCACTAAGGAAAAAAGAAAGCATAAGAAGCTGCAGAGACAGGCTGCAAAGAAACGAAAAATGGCTATGTCAAGCCTTTAGAGCCACCCAAGAACACAGACACATCGACCAGATTCAAACATGTAATGTTTCATAAAAACTACATGGCCTCATTTGTAATGGATTACTGCAAGAGAGCAGATCTCAAAGTTCCCACCTCAGTGAAGTCAGGCACCATCTCACTAAAATTTAAATTAGTCCTTACCCACCTGGACAGGAAAAACAGGTAGAAGTACATAAAATCACCTGCTGAATGCTAGACTGGAATTACTGACGGAGCTGAGAAGTCAGCCTAAGACTGAGGTCTCCTTTAACTCCTTTCAGTACTGCATTACACTTACTTCACAATTCCACATTATGGAAACAAATGATGAATTTTTTCAACATTCTTAAAAAGCATGCTGTACATTATTTCCTTGGAAGCAAACCGTGCATACTTAAATGAACATTCACTGTATCCAATCTGAGAAGACTCCTTGACACACTCTAAAGAACCCTGCTCTTCAGGATCCATGGTCAAACAGTCAAAGAAAAAGCTATTTCCAAGAAGTATTACAGTAGGCATTATTATTATGCTGAAAGCTGTATAAGTAATAAAGGTGGGAAGATTAATAGACCAGTGTCTCTTCCAGTGTTCTGACTCTGTCCACAGACTTACAGTCAGTAAATTATCTGCATTATATATTGTTTTTGAATGGGTTAGTTTCACGACAACAAACGACTAAAGCTGCTCCAGTCCATGGAAGCTAGTGGAAATCCTTGACATGAAGAACACTGAAGTCAGTAAGTGCAATCTACACCTGAAATCCACATGTAGAACTGATGGGAATCTGGAACTTAGATCTGTTTGAAATCGGAAGCCTCTCCCTCAAGTTGGAATCTGCTTCTCATCTAGTATTTAAGCAATACTTTATACTTTTTGCTGTAGTTCTAGAATTCAGTGGAGCAGCAGCAATGTACATTCCTAGATATAGCAGCACAAATCTAATATTCCAATAAGTCAAAAAATAAGCAGCTTAGAGTCACTTACCTCATGCCATAAATATATATATTGAACATATGCCTATATAAACACATATGTATCAGGGCTATTAAGTAGTGAAACAGCTACTAACACACATAAATAGCCTATGCCACACTGTAGGTTTTAGAAAAACTAATTCTTGTCAGAACACTTCAGGAAGAGACATAGTGTTAGAAGGCCCTCATGCATATCTGCTTTACAAACTACCGAGTTAGGTGTTTTTCACCTACATGCAATAGAAATTACACTAAACATTGCTTCAGCCACTGTATCTCACTTATGCAGTGCAGCAAGCTTACAGAGCATAAGAATGGCAAGGCCACCATAGTCTCTGTTAGAGATTACGGTTTCATTGGCTATTAAAGCCGAAACATCACCATCAATGCCTTCTGCTAATTACATTGCTTCCAAGTCTGCTGAGTATACATTCCCTAAAATGATAACATTGCAAATAAATTTAATTCTTATGGAGGCTCAAGTTTTAGTGTGGTTGAATTTAGCTTTAGCCTCCTCTGGTCTTGCAAAATTCTGTTTTCTGTTTCTATATGGGAAAGGGCATTTTTCAGGAGTCAAGAACCCTCAGATACATCAGTTGAGAAAAAGAGAATATTCCAGTCATCATGAGAACCAGAGTTACATTCACACTACTTCAGCATGCACCTCACAGGTAAACAAATGTATTAGATGTCAAACTTCAGCAACACAAAAGTTATTAGAAAAAGAGCATTCCTTTATATTTCTCATGAAAATTTTAAAGTTATTAAGTTGAAAAATTAGGTTAAAACTGCAGATGAAAGAATGGAATTTGTCGTTATCAATCAGCCTAGAGACATGACACAGGTTCCTAACACTGAAATGATTCAGTTCGATTTGGCATTATCTTTGGAAGCATCTCCCCATAGATGTTCTTTCCTCTACAACTAAATCATCTGGTTTCTAGTTGTCCCAACCACCTCTTCTGGAACATTTCAGTCTCTCAGGGACATCTACCTAGGAAGAGAACTGTGAGAGCTGTAGGAGCTCAACAGAGCAGGGGATTTTAAGAGCAGGTTAGATGAGCAACTATCACAAGTGATCAAGATATACTTAAACTACCGCAAAGAATGGAATGGACACATGACCCCTTATTTTCAAGTCTGTATTTCTGTTCTGTGGCATGCCTCTGCCTCTATCTCCAGCCCCTGCCACGTCTGTGAGAAACAGCTGCTGCCTCACCTCCAGCATGCTGAAAGGGATCCTTATTTTTGCTTTTAAGAATTTAATACATGAGATCCTGGTTTTATGGCTCCACATTACAATGCTGAAATAACAATATAGAAATGCTTCAAGTTTTGTATTTGCAACTTTAACTAACAACTTAAAAGTTTTAAGTCTAGCAAGCTACAAAGCGCTGAAGATTATGCATTTTTGAATCATACTCATAAATTCTTGTAGGTATGAGATACAAAACTAGTTGGTCATGATCTTGATTTCTCAGACAACTACTTGTAAAACAGAAATACTAACAACGAACTCTCAAAAATTCTCACCGTGAAGATGAGTAATGCAGAGCAGTCACATAAAAATACTACAGGGGGTGTCTCAGCATCAGTCTCTTCATGTTCCTTCCTCCCCAGCTTAGAAACACAGGAATGAAATACAAGGGAGAAACAACCACTGAACCTCTTTTAGCAGTCAATAGGCTTCGGGTTTTTTTTTTTAAACCTGAAACGCAGAAAATCATCCCAGCTTTATATTTGCTATGGCTTTTTCTGTACTAACATCTTCACTTATAAACTCTGTCTCTAGAGACTCTTAAAGTAAACCTTTTTTATAGCTCCCTTCAGCCTTCACCTCCTAATGCAAAGAATGTATCTTCCCACCTGACTCACTCCCTCCAGCTATTTTTAGCAGCTTTTCCATTGTGATGGACCACTGCAGATCACATTCAAAGACCATCAACTGCATTTAAGTGAAGTTACAGATGTGACAAACTGACAAACCTGGGAAGAAAGACTAACCCAAACCACTCCTACTGTTGTGAACAAATAAATCCCAACCTCATTATCTCTGCTGTGGGTGACAAAAGAGTTTTTGTCTGTTTATCTCCTAATGCCATGGATACTTGATTTTTTTCTGTGATTTCCTCTCTATAAGCATCTACAAAAGAGAGTTTTAAAAGCATACTTCTCCATCTTACCCAGGGGAGCCATTTCATACCCTCAGTCAAACACATATTTATCAACCAAATAACACTTATTCATTTAAACTGCTGTGTTATTTACCCGGTTGAATTACTATTTTGGCATATACATTTGAAAAGACTGTTTTAGCATTCAAGTATATTTGCCTTTGAAGCTATCAAACAGGCAATACATGACAACAGCACCGCAAACTCCCCTTGCTAACTTGTCAGCAGACCTCATCTTTGAGCCGGAGGTCAGTTTAAGGTGGCAGCTGATAGGACATGCCCAGTCAGCCTTTAATTTAACTGATGTCA